CCCAGACGCTACTCACCAAGGTAGAATGTAGAACATTGTCTTTATAAACTGTGTTATGCCAATTGAGCTAAATGTTCCCCAAGACCATGGTCTCCACAGCCCTCCGCCCAGCAATTCAGTGCCTCAGGGAGTTTGGATGTGTCTATGGGGCTTCCATGACCTTTCCTTGTACAAGTTGTGCTAGTTTCCCCTGTATTGTGTACTGTAAGGCCCTCTTTTTTTTTTTTTTTAAACACTTTTAAAGACCTCTTTTTTAACACTTTTAAAGACCTCTTTTAACACTTTAAATATATTTTTAAAGTGTTAAAAAGCAAAGATGTCACTTTAAGGACTAAAGTGCACCTGACCAAGCCATGGTGTTTTCAATCCCCTCACATGCATGCAAACACTGGACAGTAAGTAAGAAAGATGGAAGAAGAATTGATGCCTTTGAATTATGGTATTGACAAAGAATACTGAATATACCATGGAATGCCAGAATGAACAAATCTGTCTTGGAAGAAATACAGCCAGAATGCTCCTTAGAAGCAAGGATGGTGAGAGTTCATCCTCATACTTTGGACATGTTATCAGGAGGGAGCAGTCCCTGGAGAGGGTAAAGCGGTCAACAAAAAGAGGAAGATCCTCAAAGAAATATATTGACACAGTGACTACAGCAATGGGCTCAAGAATAACAATGATTGTGAGGATGGTTCAGGATGGGCAGCTTTTCATTCTGTTGTACTCAGCGTCCCTATGAGTTGGAATTGACTGGATGGCACCTAACAACAACAACATCAGTGTTGGGTGTTTCCTAAACCTAATGGCTTCTGAGTTATAAAAATAACAGATTAGATGCAGAAGCAAAGCACAAATTGGGGAAGTTAGATGCCATGTACAGATTATCAAGGAAGCAAGGAATGGTGGGGCTTCACAAGCTGAAAGTAACAAGGATTTTCCCTGGAGCTGACAGAGAGAGAGCCTTCCCCTAGAGCCGGTGCCCTGAATCTGGACTTCTAGCCTCCTGGATTGTAAGAAAATAAATTTCTATTCTTTTAATCCAACTACTTGTAATATTTCTGTTACAGTGACATTAGGAAACTAAGATATGCCTAATCTCTGGTATTGTGTTCAGGGCAGTGATCAGAGCATTAAGCTGCAGGGGAACTGGGGGGCACTTGAGTCCAGGAGGGACATCCAACCCAATGACTCAGGAAAACTTCACGAAGCAAGCACCATTTCAAGTGTGATTGTAATAAGGGGTAAGAGTTTGGTACATGGCAGCCAACAACTGGAAAGAGAACTCCAGACAGGAGGAAGAGCCAAGGCAAAAGCCTGGTGGTAGGGCAGAGCAGCTGCACACAAGAAACCTCAAGTCCTTTCACTGTGGCCATGGGAAGTGTAGACATGGGACTGGGAGGATCCTTGAGCCCAGAAAGGGGAGGCTGTAACCACCCAGAACAGAGGTTGGACTTGACTTGAAGCCAGGGGGAGACACCCGAAGATTGTCAACAAGACAGGAACTAGGTGGACATATGTAGGCCAGAGTGGTGGGTACTGCAGCCATCCTAGTGGAAGATGCTGGTTGCCCAAGAAAAGGTTTAGGTGATGCAGATGCAGAGAAAGGAAAGTCTTGAGAGATGGATGGATGTGGGAGGTGAAGAACAGGGAGGGCCATGTTTGGCACTCCTGCCTCTGTTTGGTGATGAGGGAAGGAGCAGGTTTCAGGGATGATGACGACTTCAGAGTGGACACGTTGGGACCAACTGGCCTGAGTGATGTCACAGGAGGTGGATGCGCTAAGGGTCCAGGGCCAGTCTGGGGTGTGGATTTGAGTACCCAGAGGCTAGATGCTCAGTAGAATCCACATAAGTGGATGAGAATGAGCGTGCAATGAAGGAAGAAATGATTTCATTATCAGTAAGTGCCTCAGGCCTTTCCTACCTGTGGGCTTGATGGTGAGAGCAGGTGCCAGAGAGGATGCTGGGAAAGATGTGGAGGTCACAGTTGCTGGGGAAGAAACACCAGGGTTTAAATCTCAGGTGAGCTATCTCTAAGGAAGTTGCAATGGGTGGTGGGGTAGGGTACTAAGTTAAGGAAATGTACAGCTCTCTTATGCCGCTCTAAGCCCTGGGCGAGGGTATCATCCTCAAGAGGGTGGGCAAGGGGGTGACTCCTGTCATCCCCAACTCAGTCCACATTCTATGTATGTCTTCTGGACCTTTTTCTTCCTGATGGTAAGTAGTGGTGGGGGAAAGGGCTTGGCAGGTCCAGCAGCTTCTGTTGTTCAGGAGATGTAGGGTGATCCCAGGCACACAGGGATATTGGGGTGTATAATACTTACTGGTGGAGGTGGTGGCTGATGCCCAGTGGCTGTAACCTGCAGATGGGATGGTGAGGAAGTGGGAGGAAAAGACATTTAATGAGGAGGCCACTTGGTCACAGTAGAGATGGCGGCTGGACCATCACAGCTGTGATTCCTTTCACGGAAGACAGAGCCCCCACCTGGCAGCGATCAATAACCATACACTCTCCTCCTGCCCAGGAGACAGAGGCCTTGCTCAATGCTCTCCAAGATGAGATGCCCAGAGGGAAGCCTGAACTTGGGGCTGATACCTGCCCTAGCAGGACCCGACCAGGAAAGGGGAGGAGACTCCCACCCCAGCAGGGCCTCTCACCGTTGACATAGAGACTGTCCCTGTCCAGGGTGTAGGGGCCCAGCTGGGAGATGCCATGGGTCAGCTTGTTCAGCTCCCAGTGAAGCCGTTCCCTCTCCAACCTGGGGCCCTCAGGGTCAGGGCGGAGGGTGCAAATTCCGTTGACTCTGGTGGCTTCCCCATCATTCTTGGACCTGTAGATGGAGAATATAAGGGATGTTAATAAATGGTGCCCCCAGAGAGAGGTCCTGAGATTCTTTAGAGGTAGGGCAGGAAGGGGCCAGAGGAAATGAGACAGATGAAGAGCTGGATTTGGGATTAAAGCGCGTGGAGAAGGTATCTTTATCTGGAGAGAATTCCTGGGGACAGAATTTAACACCTGAAGGAGGTGCCCTCCTTGGTCACAGGAAGGAAGAGTTTGGGCAGTGAACAGGGAAGGACTATTCTTGCTGATGGGCTCTGCAGAGCTTGGGGGTTGGAGTGGATACCAAGAGATGTCTTGGTCCTGGAGCAAATGCCTCCTGAATTCCACCTCTACTGAGGAGGCTGTATCTGGCAGGGCAGGAAGGAAACTGACCAAATGCCTCGGGCCTGGGAGCACTTGTGGCAGCCCTGCCAGTTTTCCTTTCAAGGTGTCTCACCTGAGCGAGGTCAGTCTGCAGCCAGAGTAGAGGGTGCCCACACTGGTCTTATTGAACAAGGGCCCAAGCTGGTGAGAAAAGAAAAGGAGGTGAGCAGGAGGGCCCAAGGGGCTGAGAGACTGTGTGGTCAGGGATGAGGTAGGGCTGCAAGTGGTCAACACTTAGCTCTTACCAGGCGTTGCAGGATCTTCTCAGTGAAGTTGAACTTGGTGGAGCCAGGGTGTCCCATGTCATCCGTGTAGTGCAGGTTGGTGATGGTGAAGTTGAGGGTGAATGGAAGCAGGGCAAGTTCAGGAGCTGCATTGGAGGAGGAAGAGAAAGATGTCCCTTTGGACCATACTAATGGCCAAGTTTGCCTGAGGCCCTGGCCAGGAGCACTAAGTACAGTCATCGGCTTCAGAGGCTGAAGGAGGGAACATTTTGGAATTCACAAGACCTTGGGAACATTGACTTACTCATTCAATGACCATTAATTGAACATTAATGGGTGCAAAGCTCTGTGCTGGGCTTTGTGGGTTCATAGATGAATAAGGCATAGTGTTATAGATTGAATTGTGAACCCCCAAAATATGTGTTGGAACCCTAACCTTCATACCTGTGGATCATAGGCATCCAATATTACAGAGTAGAACAGCCCCATAGGGTATTTTAGGCTGTAATTTTTAACTTTTTAATTATTTTGCTCAAAATAATTCAACAGTGGTTGCAGCAGTACATCAAGAGGGAACTGCCAGAAATTCAAGGCGGATTCAGAAGAAGACATCAAATGAGGGACATTATTACTGATGTCAAGGTATCTTGGCTGAAAAGCAGAGAATACCAGAAAGATGTTTACTTGTGTTTTATTGACTATACAAAGGCATTTGACTGTGTGAATCATAAAAAATTGTGGATAACATTGCAAAGAATGGGAATTCCAGAACACTTCACTGTGTTCATGAGGAACCTGTACATAGACCAAGAGGCAGTTGTTTGAACAGAACAAGGGGATACTGCATGGCTTAAAATCAGGAAAGGGGTGCGTCAAGGTTGTATCCTTTCACCATACTTATTAAATCTGTATTCTGAGTAATCTGAGAAACTGGACTATATGAGGAAGAACAGGGCATCAGGATTGGAAGAAGACTCATTAACAACCTACGATATGCAGATACCAAAACCTTGCTTGCTGAAAGCAAAGAAGACATGAAGTACTTATGGATGAAGTTCAAAGACCACAGACTTCAGTATGGATTACACCTCAATGTAGAGAAAACAAAAATCCTCACAACTGGACCAATAAGGTACATCATGATAAATGGAGAAAATACTGAAGTTGTCAAGCATTTCATTTTACTTAGATCCACAGTCAACGCCCATGGAAGCAGCAGTCAAGAAATCAAACGACGCATTGCTTTGGGCAAATCTGCTATAAAAAAACCCAAAAAACCCAACCCCATGTGGTCGAGTCAATTCTGACTCATAGCGACTCTATAGGACAGAGCAGAACTGCCCCATAGAGTTTCCAAGGAAGCAAAGACCTCTTTAAAGTGTTAAAAAGCAAAGATGTCATTTTGAGGACTAAGGTGCTTCTGACTCAAGCCATGGTATTTTTAATCACTTAATATGCATGTGAAAGCTGGACAATGAATACGGAAGAGGAATGCCTTTGAGTTATAACGCTGGCGAATTTTGAATATACCGTGGAGTGCCTGAAGAATGAACAAATCTGTCTTGGAAGAAGTACAGCCAGAATGCTCTTTAGAAGCAAGGATGGCGAGGCTTTGCCTCACGTACTCTGGACAGGTTATCAGGAGGAACCAGTTCCTGGAGAAGGACATCATGCTTGGTAGAGGGTCCGCAAAAAAGAGGACGACCCTCAATGAGATGGAGTGACACAGTGGCTGAAATTATGGCTTAAGCATAACAATGATTGTAAGGATGGTTCAGGACTGGGCAGTGTTTCATTCTGTTCTGCATAGGGTCAGTATGAGCAGAACTGACTGGACGGCACCTACCAACAACAAAAACATGAGTGTAGGGTGTCCTAAATCTAATGACTTCTGAGTTATAAAAATAACAGATTAGATGCAGAAGCAAATCACAAATTGGGGAAGTTAGATGTCATGTGCAGATTGCCAAGGAAGCAAGGATGCTGGGGCTACACAAGCTGAAAGTGACAAATATTTTCCCTGGAGCTGACAGAGAAAGAGAGCCTTTCCCTAGAGCCAGTACCCTGAATCTGGACTTCTAGCCTCCTGAATTGTGAGAAAAAAAATATTCTGTTCTTTAAATCTATCTACTTGTGATATTTCCGTTACAGCGGTTTTAGGAAATTAAGACATGCCTTAGGCTCTGGTATTGTGGTCAGGGCAGTGATCAGACCATTAAGCTGCAGGGGGAGCTGGGGAGCATATGAGTCCAGGAGGGGCAAACAACCTGATAACTCAAGAAAGCTTCACAAAGAAAGCACCATTTCAGGTGTGATTATAAATGAAGAAGCCAACAACTGGAAAGAGAACTCCAGACAGGAGGAAGTGCCTATGCAAAGTCCTGGTGGTAGGGCAGAGCAGCTGCACACAAGAAATCTCAAGTTCGTTCATTGTGGCCACAGGAAGTTTAGACATGGGACTGGAAGGATTCTCTGAGTCCAGACAGGGGAGGTTGTGACTATCCAGAACAGAGTTTGGACTGACTTGAGGCCAAGTGGAGTCATCCAAAGGTTTTCAACAAGACAGGAACTAGGAAAGCCCTGAGAGATGGGTGGATGTGGCAGGTGAAGGACAGGAAAGGCCAAGGTTGGCAAACCTGTCACTGGGTATGGTGATGAGGGAAGGAACAGGTTTGAAGGATGATGATGACTTCATGGTGGTCCTGAGTGATGTCCCAGGAGGTGGATGGACTAAGGGTCTGGAGCTGATGTGGAGTGAGGAGTTGGGTACCCAGAGGCTAGATGGTATGCAGAATACTCATAAATGGATGAGCTCCCTCAGGAAGAATGAGCCATGAAGGAAGAAATGATTTGATACAAATAATGCTGGAGAAATGATTTCATTATCAATAAGAGCCTTTCCTACCTGCGGCCTTGGTGGTGAGGGAAGGTGCCAGAGACGATGGTGAGAAGGATGTGGAGGTCACAGCTGCTGGGGAAGAAATACCAGGGTTGAAATCCAAGGTGAGCTATCTCTAAGGAAATGGCTGTGGGTGATGGAGGTGGAGTGCTAGGTAAGGAAATATGCTGTTAGTTCTGTTACGCCTGTCTCAGCCCTGGTAGAGGGGATTGTCCTCAAGAGGGTGGGCAAGGGAGTGACCCCTGTCATCCCCAACTCAATCCACATTCTATGCATGTCTTCTGGACCCTTTTCCTTCCTGATGGTAAGTAGTGGCTGGGGAGAGGGGTTAGCAGATCCAGCAGCTCCTATTGTTCAGGAGATGTGGGGTGATCCCAGGCACACAGGGATATTGGGGTGTGTAATACTCACTGGTGGAGGTGGTGGCTAAGTCCGAGTGGGTATAACCTGCAGATGGGATGGTGAGGAAGGGGAAGGGAGAGACATTTAATGAGGAGGCCACTTCGTCACAGTAGAGATGGTGGCTGGACCATCATAGCTGTGATTCCTTTCAAGGAAGACAGAGCCCCTTGGAACCGATCAAAGACCACACACACCCCTCCCTCCAAGAAGAGAAGGAGTCCTTACTCAAAGCCCTCTAAAATGAGAGGCCCAGATGGAAGCCTGAACTTGGGGCAGATATCTGCCCTAGCAGGACCCACCTAGCAAGGCGGAGGAGAGCCCTACTCCAGCATGGCCTCTCACCGTTGACATAGAGACTGTCCCTGTCCAGGGTATAGTAGCCCAGCTGGGTGACCCCATGGGTCAGCTGGTTCAGCTTCCAGTAAATCTGCTCCCTGGTCAGCCTTTGGCCCCCTGGGTCAGGGTGGTGGGTGCAGATGATGTCCACTGCGGTGGCTTCCCTATCCTTCTTGGGTCTGGAGAGGAAGGAAGAGGAGATGACAACAAATGGAGTCCTCAGAGAAGGGTCCTGAGATCGTGGGGGCAGGACTGCAAGGGGTCAGAGGAAATGAGAAGCCTGGTAGAGACATGAGAAGGCCTACTTAGATTCTCTTAGGACACCAACTGATGGTCAGCATGGGACTTTCTTTGCTACTTTAATGAGAAGAGCTGTGGGTGCGAAATGTTTATTATATTGAAAGGCTGAAACCTGCATATCTGTGACATAGGGATAGGAGAGATCACACATGATACAGAAGAGCTGGATTTGGGATTAAAGCAAGTGGAGTAGGCACCTTTGTCTGGAGAGAATAGAATCCCTGGGGACAGAATTTAACATCCAAAGGAAATGCTGATAATAATAGCTTTTTTATGAGAGTTTTAGGTGATGATGTATGGGAAGCATTTAGCTCAGTGATTCTCAACCTGGAGCGATTTTTTACCCTTGGAGACATTTGGCAACATCTGGAGATATTTTTGATTGTTGCAACCGGGGAGGTGCGACTGGTATCTAGTGGGTCCAGGGTAAGGATGCTGCTAAATATCCTAAAATGTAGGGGACTGCCTCCCACAACAAAGAATTACCAGCCCAGAATGTCAATACAGGTAGTCTCTGACTTACAATGTATTTGAGTTATGATGAATCTCACTTAAACCGTCATTTTTTTTAATGATGTGTGTATTTTTTATGTATGTAGGTATGTATTAAAATATACCTGTAAGTTTATGTGTAATGTTTCCAACCCTCAAAGAAAATATAGATCAGATTTATAAAGATACTGATAATAAAAGGCAATAATAATGAGAACTAAGAAAAAAAAGAAGTATACGACTTATGTCAGAACCTACTTACAATGCACTAGTCAGAATGGAACACTATTATTAAGTCAAGGACTAACTATGGTGCTGAGATGGCAGAGGAACCCTGGTTTATCCCAATGTCTGACACACGATGAGCATTAACCTTTAATGGGTATTAACCTTCAAGAGCGTTTGGATGTCCTGTGGGGTTGGCTAACACAGAGTGTGTTAACCTTAAGGAGCATTTGGATGTAGTGTGGGTTTGGCTGACACGGAGTGTGTTAACCTTCAGGAGCATTTGGATATGGTGTGGAGTTGACTGACACAGTGTGTGTTAACCTTCAAGAGTGTTTGGATGTGGTGTGGGGTTGGCTGACACAGTGGGCATTAACCTTCAGGAGTGTTTGGATGTGGTGTGGGGTTGGCTGACACTGGGCGTTAACCTTCAGGAGCATTTGGATGTGGTGTGGGGTTGGCTGACACTGGGCGTTAACCTTCAGGAGCATTTGGATGTGGTGTGGGGTTGGTTGACACTGGGCGTTAACCTTCAGCAGCATTTGGATGTGGTGTGGGGTTGTTTGACATGGTGTGTATTAACCTTCAGGAGAGTTTGGATGTGGTGTGAGGTTGGAGACATGGCAGGCTCAGCAACACGCTGACCCCACTGGACACCAGCGAATGGTTCGATCAGGGGTGTGTCCTTTGTGAAGGGGTTTGGTGCATACTTTCGAGCTGCTCCATTTTTCTTTTTGTTCCTAGTAAACACTGTTTGGGAGATTTGAGGACTCATAAGGAAGGAATGCTCAGAGCAGAGCCTGCATGTTAGGAGCCCCCAGGGGCGGCAGCTGTCCCAGGTTAGGGGCTGGAAATGGTTAAAGTGGGAGGACCCATGCCTGGGAGCCTATAGGTGAAGTCCCACGAGGCCACCTTCTCTGGAGGTCTCACCTGAGAGAGGTCAGTCTGCAGCTGGGGTAAAGAGGGCCGACACTGGTGTTCTTGAACAAGGGCTTGAGCTGGAGAAGAGGAGAGAGAGGTGAGAAGGAGGTCCGGGCAGACAGGGGTGGGGCTGGGGCGAGGTGGGCTGGGCAGGCACCGGTGGGTGGAGCAAAGTTGAGGTGGCAAAGCTGGCATCAGCCGGGAGGCAGGGTGAAGTGAGTGGGGCAGATATCAGTGGGCGGGGCTTGACTCAGATGGTGGGCAGGGGGAAGGTGGGTGGGGCGAGCATAAGTGGAGGGCCTGAGTAAGGTGGACAGGGCTCTCACCAGGTGCTGCAGGGCCTTCTCTGTGGTGTTGAACCTCAAGGAGCCTGGGAGACGCATGTCCTCCACATAGTGCAGGTTGGTGATGGTGAAGTTGAGGGTGAAGAGCACCAGGACAGGGCCAGGGGCTACAGCAGTGGAGGGAGAGAAGCAGTCACGCTCTCAATCAGGCCAGTACGAGATCTGGTGGGGATGGGGGCTGAGACTCTCCGTCCACATCTGTGATGGCTGGTGTGTTTACCTCTAGTGCATGGGGTCAGAATATCTCTTCCCAGAACGTGGAACTTTCTTTAGAAAGATGCTAGTAATAGTGATGATAACAACAATAACAATGAAAACAGCAGCAAAAGTAACATCTGGTATTTGGTAAGAGCTTACTCTATGCTACACTCTGAGATAAATAGTATCTCTTTAATCCTCAAACAATTCCACGAGGTGAGTCCTATTACTTATTGCCAATTTATAAAGGATGAAAGTGAGTTTCAGAGAGGTTAATTCACTGCCCAAGGCCATACAGCTCTTTAAGGCACAAGCTCAGGCTCTGGAGTTTGAAAGACTTGAGATTGAGTCCTGGCCATCTTCTGGCTATGTGACCCCAGAAAAATCATGGAGCATCCTGAGCTCCATTTTCTGCCTCTCTCAAATGGAGAAATAATACAGCCTACTACTAGGGCTGAAGTAAGATCATACATGTATAGCAGGGTTGCTGGCACATGGCAAATAATCAGTGAATGCTGGTGTTCCTTGTTGTCATTGTTGATAATAACGTTGTTTACCTCTACTTTCTCTGCTGACCCTCTTAATCTCTGTTCCTTGAGAATTAGTCCTGGATTGCCCTGGACTATTTCCTTTCCATCCCTGGGTGGTGCAAATGGTTAATGCACTTGGCTGCTAACTGAAAGGCTGGAGGTTTGAGTCCACCTGAGGTGCCTCAAAAGAAAGGCCTGACAATCTACTTCCAAAAAAACACCCACTGAAAACCCCATGGAGTGCAGTTCTACTCTGACATATATGGGGTTACCATGGTCACAGTTGACTTGATGGCAACTGATTTTATTTTCTTTCCATCCTAAGAGAAGGTGAAGCTTTGGGCACTGTCCCAGAATGAACTGCTAGTTCTGGTCTCACTAACTGACTCCCTGAACCTCCTAAGGGCTGGGGACAGAGAACATGGTCACAAGCTACCCTGGCAGGTCACCTGGGTAGACTGTCAAAATGGCCTCAAATTCTTCCCCTCCTTGCGTCTATACCCTTGCAATGTGATGTTACAGCCCCTTCCATCAAGAGGCGGGAGTCTATTTCTTCACCTCTTGAATCTAGCCTGGACATGTGACTTGGTTTGGTCAACAGGATAAGAGAAATGTGATACAATTAAAGGCTGAAAAGAATTTGGCACTGGGGCTGTCCTTTCTGCTGCTGGGAACTCAAATGACCATTATACGAATGAGCCCAAGCTGGCCTATTGGATGACAGGCCACTTGAAGGAGAACTGAGGCACCCCAACCAATAGCCAGGCATCCCCCAGAAGCTGAGGCACCTAGCTGACCTGCAGGTGACTGCAGATACATAAGGGAGCCCAGCTGAGACCAGAGGAGCTGCCCAGCTGAACTGTATACTACTTCACAGTAGTAAATGGTTGTTTTTTAATCCACTAAATTTTGGGGTTGTTTGTTATGCAGTAAAAGCTAACTGATACAACACCTTAACAGAAAGCAAAGGGTGGATTGAAAGGAGTTACTGCTCTAGCTTGGAAGTGTAAACCTGGAGTCACAGAGCTCTCTAAACCCAGGCATGGAGCTGCACTGGTCTGTGACAAGGGAGTGGTCTCAAGGATTCATGCTCCCCCCATGTCTCCTCTCCTTGACCTGCCCATGCACACTCCATTTACTCATCATCCTGCCAAGCACAGAGGCATGTGGGTGGGAAGGAAGGAGACCTGGGAAGCAGGCTCCTACCTGTGGAGCTGGAGAAGGGGATTGGAGCAGCTGAGGTTCCCAAGGAGAGTGTGACAGTCACAGCACCTTAGGAGGAAGCATGAGAAATGGGAATGATGGAGCCCCAGAATCTTGGAGGTGCCAGAGATGAGAGGCCCTGATACCCAGCCTGAGTCACAGAAGGCAGAGGTCAGGGTGGGTGACCAGGGCCCTAGAGCTTCCTCATCCCCAGGGCCCTGGACTTTGGGGGAAATGGGACACAGGGCCTTCTGGGGCTCGAACACTTACCACTGGGAATGGGAGTCAAGGCTGGTCTGTTGTAACCTGCAGAGAGTAAGTAAGGGAAGAGTGAATTGGAGTGTTTGAGAAGGTTCAGGGAGGGATGGAGAGGCTGGACCATCGAGGAAGAACAGATGCCATTGGGAAGGCTCCAAGGGGGTATCCTTGGGTCAGGAGGTCATTTCCCTTCCAGGCTGTGGGTGATGCCTCCTACATCCTTTCTCTGACTGCCCGTCTCTCTCTCTTTCTCTGTGATTTAGCACTTGGTAGGGAAGCAGCAGACACTTACAAAGGCAAGAGTGAGGAAAGAGAAATCCAGAGGCAGACAGGGATGTATCCTCTGGCCAGAGGTAAGCAGCAGCAGCAGCAGGACCCCCCTGGGGGGCAGGAGGAGACCCCTGTTACCACCACCACTCACCGTTGACATAGAGACTGTCCTTGTCCAGGGTGTAGGGGCCCAGCCGGGTGATGCCATGGGTTTGGTGCTTCAGCTCCTGGTAGAGCCACTCTCTGTCCAGCCCAAGGCCTGTGGGGTCAGGGTGGTGGGTGCAGACAGCATCCACTCCAGTAGCTTCTCCATCTTTCTCGGGCCTGGAGAGGGAAGGACACAGGGATGCGGACAGGTCAGAGGGGCACCCTTGGCAAGCCGTCCTTTTCTGAGCCCATTTCTGTGTGGACGTGTGCTAATCCGTCCTTCAGGCCCAGACATGAGCCACCCACAAGAGAAGGGGCATCTTTGAGCTATGGAAGACCAGGGTGGATGCTCTAGAGTCAGGCGACTATCGATTCAAACCCTAGCTCTGTCGTTTTTGAATAACCGCACAGCTTCCCTGACTCTTATCTCTCCTATCTGCACAGTGTGAACAATGCTGTAACCACTTGGTTTGAATGTGGGGGATTCAGAGATGATTGATATATAATACCCATCCCTGGTGCCAGGTACACTATAGGTGCTCATTAACTAATTGGTTAATTAAACAACTATTTCCAGGCCACCCCCAGTCCCTGGAGAGACTGGACAACAGTTCAAAACAGAGACTCCTCAGCTCTCAAAAAGCCAAAATAACCTGATTTCTGGATGTGAGCAGCTGAGCATGAGAAGATGCAGAGCACAGGCCCCTCACCTGCCACCTACCAGCCTCTTGCATTATTATGTCCCTGGGGCAGCAGGAAAAAGTAGGTCTGAAGGGATAGCCTGAGAGGTCAGCAGGTTGCACTGCCAGAGAATGTTACCAGGGAGAACAGCTCAGCTGTTCCTAGCTGTCTCTCATCCTAGACACCTGATAATGGTGCAATGCCAGTTGCGTTGCCTGGCGACATTGCCTCTGGTGTAAATGACTTTGGTTAGTGACCTGCATCTTGTTCAGGAGGACTTTGAATGGGCTTCAATACCTGGCAGGAAGCTATAGCTTTTGGCTTCCCTGAGTACAGTGACCCTGATAACTGGGCTTGTCCCTTTGTTCTGTATGTTTCTATAATGATCTTAGATCTCATAAGTCACCATTATGCTTTCAAAGTACATATGTATAAGCACTCATAATATGAACTTAGAAACAGAAATATGTATACCTTTGTGAAATTTTCTAACATTAACTATAAGTCATTGCAAACTATAAGCCATGAGAAAGTTATTTAGAAAAATTATGAACTTACACACAGAAACATAGAAGTATGTGAAGCATGTGGTAAGTTAACTTTGACCTGACATGCTGTGATAAAAGCAGATAGCTTCAGGGGTTCATCCAGCCTCCATGGCTGCAGAAAGTCTGGAGTCCATGAGAATTTGAAATTCTGTTCCTCATTTTCCCTCTTTTGATCAAGATTATTCTACAGAATTTTTTATCAAAATGTTCAGTAATGGTAGCTGGGCACCATCCAGTTCTTCTGGTCTCATGGCAAAGAGGCAGTTGTTCATGGAGGCAACTAGCCACACATTCCATATCTTCCTTCTATTCCTGACTCGCCTTCCTCTGTTGCTCCAGGTGAATAGAGGCCAATTGTTGTGCCTTGGATGACCACATGCAAGCTTATAAGATGCAATGCACTATATAACAAACCAGGAGGTAATCTTTAAACCTTAAACCAAAAATATCCCCTGAAATCTTCTTAAAACTAAACAAAAGTTTAGCTTGACTAGTAAAAAAAAAAATGCCTGCTTTGAGCATTATGCCCTTTTATATGGGATCGAATTGACAACAGCAACTTGAAAGATTAGATAGAAACCTTCGGGTACAGTGAATTTAATAGGGGAAGAACAACTCAGAAAAGGAGGATGAGGATTGATGCACAACTCGAAGAATGTAATCAGTGTCACTAAATTGTACATGTAGGAACTGTTGAATTGGTATATGTTTTGCTGTGTATATTCTCAACAACAATAAAATAAATGAAATTAAAAAGAGAACATAGTTAATGGAATAGCATAATTAATCTTTGTAAACTATCCTTGAGACATAAGTATAAACACCTTCCCTAATCTCTAACCTTGAGGAAAAGATGTGTCATTTGACTCATCTCTAACCCTGGAGAAAAGCCTTCTAGTCTTTGATGTCACACTGGCCCTGATTGTGTAGGGCCAAGTTAAGAATGTCACATATAAATCCTAAATTTTCACTAACTCTGAGAGAAAACCAAAAACCAAATCCATTGCTGTGGAGTTGATTCCGACTCATAGTGACCTGATAGGACAAAGTAGAACTGCATCACAGGGTTTCCAAGGAGTGGCTGGTGGACTCAAACTGCCAACCTTTTGTTTAGTACCGAGCTCTTAACCACTGCACCACCAGGGCTCCCACAGAGAGAAGACAGAGGCAAAGGGATCTTTCCCTAGTCTGTTTCTGTCTCTGAAGACCCAAAGCCTGCTGAGACTCCACCCGCTGCCAACCTTGGACCCTAGCTGCGAGGGACCTCCACTGAGTTTGAGCCACGGTTAAGCCTTCCTCCTGAGACCTCTCGTTAAAGGTAAAGGCCTGAAGTCTAAAGGTTTGGACTCTAGCCTTTGAACTAACATTGTGATTGTAATCGTTTATTCTGATTCTCCAGTTCTAAACGAATGTTGTGACGTCTTACTTGCGTGCCTTGCCATGACTACCTTGCAATAAACTAAATAAGTTTATGCATGAAAAACCTGAGCATCTTTCTATTAATTTCTAAGACAGAATCCCCCAAAACACCTTTGAAGGACTGTTACAAGAGATACCGGTTCCTGTTTGGGATATGGTGTGGTTCTCACATCTGTCCTTTGAGGTCACATTTCCTTGCACATGAGTTGTCACTGGGAGGCCAAAGGGAATAGCCCTTGGACTTCTAAGATGGCCCTACTGGCATGCAGTTTCCTGTCCATACCTTCTAAGTGCAATGGAAGCCATGCATGGCCTATTCAGGTCTTGCAAATCTGACTGTCTATTTGGCTTTCTGATGACTTAGAGAGGGCAGTATACAGGGCCAGCCCCAGAGCTGGAACAGGGGGAGGCAGACGAGGCACCTAGGGTGCAACATTTAAGGAGGGGCTCACTATCAGGGTTGTGCACGTGCAGGGTTGGCCCCTGTTATGGACTGAATTTTGTCCCCCCAAAATATGTGTTGGAGTCCTGACCTCTATATCTGAGAATGTGATCTTATTTGGGAATAGGATTTTCTTTATTATGTTAATGAGGCCATATTGGTGTAGGCTGTAGCCTAAACTGAATCGCTTCTAAGTTATAAGGAGCAACACAGATGCAGACACCAGCAAGCCCAAAGGAGGGAGAGAGATGCCACATGAAGATTGCCAAGGAATCCAGGAAAGCAAGGGCTACAGAAGCTGATAGATACAAGGATCTTCCCCAGAGCCTTCCCCTAGAGCTGGTGCCCTGAATTCAGTCTTCTAGCCTCCTGAACTGTGAGAAAAACAAACTTCTGTTCATTAAAGCCACCCACTTGTGGTATTTCTGTTACAGCAGCAGTAGGAAATTAAGACAGCCCCTGAGGGTGAGCACCTCCTTCAAGTGAGCCCTGGGTGACACCCTTGCCTCACCCTAGTACAGGCCCTGGCCATCCGACCAGCTCACACCTCACTACCCCTTCTAAGGCAGGACAGAGGGAAGCTCTCACCTCAGTGTGGTCAGCCTGCAGCCAGTGTAGAGGGAACCGATGCTGCTGTTGGTGATCAAGGGCTTGAGCTGAGGAGGGAGTGGGTGAATGAAAATGAATGTAAAATTACTCATAATTTTAAAACAGTAAATCATTTTAATAACACAACAACTCCCTAATCCACTCGATACCTCATTTAATTCTCAAAAATGACCCTATGGAATAAGTGCTTTTATTATTTCAGTTTTAGAGATGAGGAAACAGAGGTACCAAAAGGCAAGGACATGGGTCCAGGGTCACATCGCTTGTCAGTGAGCTTGCCAATTTTTAAACTTGGAACTGTCTGCCTGTTAAGTCCACCATTTTAAGCGCGCCAAATCCCCAGAAAGTATAGCAGGGAGACTCAGTGAGGGTGGGGAGGAGGTTGGAAAAGAGGGATGGGTGGAGGGGGCTCTCACCAGGAATTGCAGGATTGACTCCGTGGAATTGAACTTGGCAGAGCCTGGCTGCATGTCCTCCATGTAGCGCAGGTTGGTGATGGTGAAGTTAAGGGTGAAGGGCACAAGGGCTGGGCCAGCGACTGCATGGGGGTGGGGAAGGGTGAGAGAGGCCATGCCTTAAGTCAGGACTAGGCAGGGTGTAGGTCAAAGAGCCCCTGGACACAAGCCCTGCCTGCTCAGCTTGTTCTGTTGGAGCCCCTGGTCAGTTCCATTTGATGTAGTCCCAAATAGTCACACACCAGAGCCAGAGGTGATGTGTGTGGGTTAGACTGGTGCGAGAACAGGTGACAAGTGGGGAGTCAAGGGGCCCAAGCTTATCTTGGCCCGAGCCAATTCCTTCCTCTAACCAGTGCCCTTTTGAGGACCCTCCCAGACCGGTTCACCCTCCAAGGTCTGTAGGGCAATTTACCTGAGGAGCATTTTGCAAAATACCAATTTTTCCCCCAGTTTACCAAATTTATTCATTTAACAAGACTTATATAAATCTGCACGTGTCTCTCAGTTTGTCGTACTGTGGTGGCTTGAATGTTGCTGTCATGCTGGAAGCTATACCACTGGTATTTCAAATACCAGCAGGGTCACCCATGGTGGACAGGTTTCCACGGAGCTTCCAGACTAAGGTAGACTAGAAAGAAGGACCTGGCAGTCTACTTCTGAAAAAATTGGCCAATGAAAACCTTATGAACAGCAGCAGAACATTGTTTGATACAGTGCTGGAAGACAAGCCCTTCAGGTTGTATGGCACTATGGATTGACACAGTGGCTGCAACAATGGGCTCAAATATAGCAACGATTGTGAGGATGGTACAGGACCAAGCAGTGTTTCCTTCTGTTGTACATGTGGTCGCTATGAGTTGGAACTGCCTCGACAGCACCTAACAACAACATTTTATAAATAATTCCTCTTGAGAGAATCTTATTCAAGAGTATACTTAAAGCAATCAGACGAAGTCAGACAATGGGACCAGATACTACCAGATACCTGGGGTAGTTGAAAGTTAATGCCATGGGGGAAAAAATGGAGGTGCCAAGGTAGGGCTACTCTAGATCAAAAGACACCAAAAGACAATCAATCTGGGAAGCTTTATTTGATCCTGGTTTGGAAAAAGTCACCTATAATAGGGAAACATATGGGGAAGTCTGAAAATAGACTGCATGTTAGGTTGATATTAACGTATTATTGTCAGTTTTAAAGCGTGATAATAATATAACGGCTACTTAGGACAATGTCCTGGTTTTATGGTGAGTCTTGCTGAAATATTCACTGATGAAGCATCATGATATCTGCAACTTTCAACGATCAAGAAAAAATTATATCTATACACTGTAAGTACACCTACACCTATATGGGGTCGCCATAAATCGGAATCAGACTCTACTGCAACAAACGACAGGAAATACAGTCAGTTCTGCTATAATGCTTGTTTGTAAATATCAGTTTCAGCGAGCGTGAAATATGACGGCCCAATCTGAATGAACATCAAGGGAATTTTGCATCTGCTTATGCACAATTTCATCTGCGAGACACACTAGACAAAACAGTAGATGACCGCACAAAACCGCACCCCGTCCGCGCGCATTTTCTTGGCCCTTCCAGCTCCCTCAAATCCCGCGCGCTTACCCAGATGCCTCGCGCTTGCGCGCTCACCTACATCCGGGTTCTGACGTTCTCACAATTTTAGATCATTGTCTCGCCTCCCTTCAACGAAGCCCTTTCTTCGACCGTTTTGACGTCTACTTTCATAAGCGAACGTCAGGCCCTTTTCAAGGTAAAGTGCCATGTTTACTGTAGTATTCATGTGTTAACCATTTAACGTGTATAAAGCTGTGCTACTATTATCTCTATCTTTTTATGTGTCACTGATGATGTTTTTGAGTGTGGTGCCCTGAATCACATTTTTCCCATAAACCCTGTGGTTTTCATTGCGCTATTTTGCATAGCGTGCGATTTTTAGGGGCACATATGTCCCATTATAGCAGAACTATGTACAAGAAGCAAATAAGACAAAAATCTCAACAATTGCTGACAGAGAGATGTACTATTCTTTCAACTTACCTGTTATTTTTGACAATTATAAAATGTTGGAGAATGGAGGACAAACACACACCAAATACCCATGAAATATTGCAATGATTCCATATGACAAATTGAACATTCCTTAAAATGCTGCTAAAATGACTATATTCGTTGGAAATAGTCGGGCAGATTATGTATATCCACAAGGAACATATTCATAAAGATACTAGTAAGAAGAAAAAAGTCCCATCTATTCAATATGTTCAAGAAGAATATTCCTTAAAATAAGCTGTTGTTAAACTGGTTAACTGGGTAAACTGGGGAATTGATTCTTTACTGAGTTGGCTTCTGGCAAACTGGCTATCCATAGTCTCCGTGACTGTCTGCTTTCCAGTCTTCTAGGGGTTGAGGAAGGAGCCCTGGTGTGGCGTGATGGTTAAGGGCTTGGCTGCTAACTGAAAGGACAGTGGTTCCAACCCACCAGCAGCTCCAGGGGAGCAAGGTGTGGAAGCCTGCTTTTGTAAAGATTCCAGCCTTGGAAAGCCTATGGGGACAGTTCTACTCTGTCCTATAGGGTGGCTCTGAGTTGGAATTGACTCAGTGGCACACAACAACAACAGGGCTTGGGGGATGATTTGAAGACAGAGGCCCCCTGTAGGTTTCAGATGCAAGTTAGGATGGTGAGTGCTGGGGTTGGGACCAGTATTTATGAAAACCCCAGGGACCTAGGAAGGCCCTGTTAGATCCATCAGGAATCGCCTTGGCTGCCCTGAGAGATGGCACCCTCTGTCCCCGCTCCTGCCTCCTTGGGTTAGAACCCAACAGTAATTGTAGGGAACATCTTCAGCAAGGCAAATTCCTACCTGTAGAACTGGAGAAGGGTGTCGGTATCCCTGCAGAAATTGTGTCCACCACAGAAGCTGGGGAGAAAAAACCCAGCATGCTTGAGGTGGGGACCTGATCATTTTGGAGGTGCTAGGGAGGGGATGCCCACATCTGGGGCTTTTTTGGGCATGGGTTTCTGCTCAGGGAAGCTGGAGGTGGGGTGGGGTGGGGCAGAGAGTGGAGGCAGTGTTCTCCTGGCCTCTTCCATTCCTAAGGGCAGGTGGTGCAGGTGGCTCACAGGGATTGTGGAGATTTCTGAAGCCTCAGAATACTCACTTATGGGGGTGGTGGCCGAGATCTGGTGGGTGTAACCTGTAGAGAAAGATGGAGAAAAGATGAGGAAGGTGAGAGAGAAGAGAAAGGGAAGGATGGAGAGGAAGGATGTGGGGCCTGCTGGGCTTCAAAAAAGACGGCATTTCCTCACCATTGACATAGAGACTGTCCCTGTCCAAGGTGTAGTGGCCCAGCCGGGTAACCCCACGGGTCAGCCTGCTCAGTTCCCAGTACAGCCGCTCTCTGTCCAGTGCGTGGCCTTTGGGGTCAGAGCGGTGGGTGCAGATGATGTCCACTCCGGTGGCTGCCCCGTTTTTCTTGGGCCTGGGGAGGGAGGATGAGGAGATAACAAATGAAATCCCCCAGAGAAGGGTCCCGAGATCGTGGGGGCAGGACAGGAAGGGGTCAGAGGAAATGAGAACCCTGGTAGAGAGGTGAGAAGCCAGACTTAGATTCTCTGAGGGCACCAACAGCTGGTTGGCCTGGGACTGTGAGCAGTCGTGGGTGAGAAATTTTTATTAAATTGAAAGGCTGAAACCTGCATTTTCATGGCATGAGGACTGGAGAGCTCACATAGGAGATGGGGTAGAGCTGGGATTTGGGATTAAAGCAAGTGGAGAAGGCACCTTTGTTTGGAAAGAATAGACTCCCTGGGGACAGAATTTAACACCCAAAGGAAGCGCCCTCCTTGGTCAGAGGGAGAGGGAGTTGGGGCGGGGTGGTGGTAGGGGGGTGGGGATCAGGGAGGGGCCAGTCCTGATGATGGGGTCTGCAGAGCCTGAGGGCTGTTGGGGGCGTACCAGGAGATGCCTTGGTCCTGGAGCCGGGCAGGGCGGGAAGAAGGCGGTCCAGACCTCTGGGGCCTGGGAGCACTTGGGGCAGCCCTGGCCGGCCGTTGTATTGGGAGGTCTCACCTGAGCGAAGTCAATCTGCAGCCAGAGTACAGGGGGCTGACACTGGTGTTCTTGAACAAGGACCCAAGCTGGCGAAGAGGAAAAGGGAGGTAAGTAGGTGGGCTGAAGGGGCAGAGGCGGGGCATGAGTCAGGTGGGCAGGCATTTATGTGGTGGAGGAGACCAGCATCAGTGCGCATGGCAGGGTTCAGGTAGGCGAGGCCAGCATCAGTTGGCGGGAACGGCATCAGTGGACTGGGCTGGCGTCATTGGTGGACATTTGCTTGTAGAAGACTAGCATCAGCGCATATGGCAGGGTTGAGGTGGGCGGGGCTGGCGTTAGTGGGCGAGGTATAGCTGGGCGGGGCGAGGTATAGCTGGGCGGGGCGAGGTATAGCTGGGCGGGGCGAGGTATAGCTGGGCGGGGCGAGGTGGGCGGGGCGCTCACCAGTCGCTGTAGGATCTTCTCGGTGGTGGTGTACTTCAGGGAGCCCGGGGAACGCATTCCTTCCTTGTAGTGGAGATTGGTGATGGTGAAGTTGAGGGTGAAGGGCACCAGGGCAGGGCCAGTGGCTGCATTGAGGGTGGGAGAGAGACGCCCACTGAACTCACCTCCTGTTAGAAAGCTGGAGCTTGATCCCTCCCACATGTGTGTCTTCAAGCCTTGAGGAGGCGCTTCCTCCAGAATGGGGAGTTTCAGCGGGGGTTGGTGGGGGGGGGCGGGGAGGGTGCGGACCTCAGCCCAGACTCAGCACTAACTGAGGGACACTGAGGTACATGTGAAAAATTGTACCGTGGAAGTCAGTAGATCATCAAGCAGAAAGCAAACGTTGCTGGCTTTCTGGTGGGGTAATATTCCAGACAGACATGTCTTTACCTGTTTTTTTTTTAATCCAGATTGGTTCTCGGACACCCACTCTACGTATTGATTTTTTTGTTTTGTTTAAAGAAACACTTACATTGTATTCTTACGTGCCAGACCCTGTTCTAAGTGCTTGACTTGAATTTCAATTTATTTAAGCCTTGAGACAAATCCTTTGGATGGAGGTAGTATTACTATCCCCATTTCGCAGGTGTGGAAACTAGACAAAGAGAGCTTCAATAACTTGTCCCACATCATACAGTCTCTAAGTGGCAGAACTCGGATTTGAACTCAGGCCTTGTGGGCCCAGAGTGTGTGCTTCTAACCCTTCCACCTAGGACCATAGGCAGGTCCAGTCTCCAGTGACCGAGTGCTCTGGCCTGAGTGCTCAGAATGCTCTCAGTTGGTCCCCTCTAATAAGTAACCAAAGACTTGAATAAGGCAGATGATGATGGTGGCTCACGCAGGACCCTCAGTGGGACTTGGGTGGTACTGAAATCAACTTTGGGCAGGTGGCAGGCCAGAAAGGGGAACTGGCCCTCAGCCCAACCTGAGCCTGTCCAAGCCACTGACCGTGACTTGAAAGAGGGCATTTCCTGGGTGCACGTGTAGCTCATGCTGTTCCCTTTTTTCCTGGAAATGAAAACTAAGCATCAAAGAGAAGCCCCTCCACACACTGCAGTGCCCCCAGAGTTTTCTTCTGTGCCGACACCGTGCTGATTGTAATACAATCCTAATGTGTACAGTTGTCTTTTTTCTCGGTTTTCCTTGCCGTGAGCCATCAAAGCCCAGGGCCCTTGGCATTCTGTTTACTGCTGCATTGTTGTTGTTGTTATTGCTAACTGCTGTTGAGTCGGCCCCGACTCATGGTGACTCCATGCACAACAGAACGAAATGCTGCCCTGGTCTGTGCCATCCCCATGATTGGTTCTGGATCCTTGTGATCCATAGGGTTTTCACTGGCTGTTTTTTGGAAGTAAATTGCCAGGCATTTCTTCCTCATCCGTCTTAGTCTGGAAGCTCCACAGAAACCTGTTCAGCCTCATTGTTGTTAGGTGCTGTTGAGTTGGTTCCTACTCATAGTGACCCTGTGTACGACAGAATGAAACAATGCCTGGTCCTGCACCATCCTCAGTATTGTTATGTTTGAGCCCATTGTTGCAGCCACTGTGTCAATCTATCTCGTTGATGGTCTTCCTCTTTTTCGCTGACCCTCTACTTTACCAAGCATGGTGTCCTTCTCCAGGGACTGATCCCTCCTGATAACATGTCCAAAGTATGTGAGACTTAGTTGTCTTAGTCATCTAGTGCGGCTATAACAGAAATATCACAAGTGGATGCTTTAACAAAGAGAAATTTATTCTCTCACAGTCCAGTAGGTTACAAGTCCAAATTCAGGGTGCTAGCTCCAGGAGAAGGCTTTCTCTGTCTGTCAGCTCTGGAGGAAGGTCCTTGTGATGCATCAGTCTTCCCTGGGTCTGGGAGCATCTCAGCGCAGGAACGTTAAGTCCAAAGGACACGCTCTGCTCCCAGCACTGCTTTCTTGGTGGTATGAGGTTCCCATGTTTCTCTGCTTGCTTCTCTTTTATATCTCAAAAGAGAATGGCTGAAGACACTATCTAATCTTGTAGACCTCATCAGTATAACTGCTGCTAATCTGTCTTATTACATCATAGTGATAGAGTTTACAACACATATGGAAGTCACATCAGATTACAAAATAGTACACAATAATACAATACTGGGAATCATGACCCAGCCAAGTTGACAGATATTCTGGGGGGACACAATTCAATCCATGACAGTAGTCTCACCATCGTTGCTTCTAAGGAGCATTCTGGCTGTACTTCTTCCAAGACAGGTTTGTTCATTCTTCTGGCAGTCCATAGTATATTTAGTATTCTTCACCAACACCACAATTAAAAGGTGTCAATTCTTCTTCAGTCTTCCTTATTCATTGTCCAGCTTTCGCATGCATATGAGACGATTGAAAACACCGTGGCTTGGGACAGATGCACTTTAGTCCTTAAGGTGACGTCTTTGCTTTTTAACACTTTAAAGAGGTCTTTTGCAGCAGATCTGCCCAATGTGATGCGTCTTTTGATTTCTTGACTGCTGCTTCCATGGGTGTTGATTGTGGATAAAAGAAAATGAAATCCTTGGCAACTTCAGTCTTTTCTCCACTTATCATGATGTTGTTTATTGGTCCAGTTGTGAGGGTGTTTGTTTTCTTTATGTTGAGGTGTAATCCATACTGAAGGCTGTGGTCTTTGATCTTCATCAGTAAGTGCTTCAAGTCTTCTTCACTTTCTGCAGGCAAGGTTGTGTTATCTGTATAATGCAGGGTGTTATTGAGTCTTCTTCCAATCCTGATGGCCCGTTCTTCTTCATATAGTCCAGCTTCTTGGATTATTTGCTCAGCATACAGATTGAATAGGTATGGTGAAAGGCTACAACCCTGATGCACACCTTTCCTGACTGTAAACCATGCAGTATCCCCTTGTTCAGCCTCATAGCTGGGTTGAGTCCATCCAGAGGTGCATCAGAAAACCCTATGGAGCAGTTCTGACAGATGGGTGGTGGCTGTGCAAGAGGTGCATTGGCCAGGAATGGAACCCAGGTGTCCTGCATGAAAGGTGATAATCCTACTACTGAGTCACCCCTGCCTCACTGCTGCATTACAAGGGCTTTAACGCAGTGCATATAAATACTTGTTGCATGAATGAATGAAGGATCCTGGCTGCCCATGTAATGCCTCCCACTGGTCACGTGCAGGAGGCCTGTGCAAAGAGGCATCACAGAGAGGAAGCTCCTACCTGAGGGAACGGGGACCAGAGCCACAGAGCTTGCTGGGGAGACAGTAGAGGCCACAGCAGCTGTGAAGAAAACACAGTAAGGCAAACTGGGGGGAAGGTACCTCCCAGCCAAGGAGGGGCCCATCATGGGACCTTACACCCCTTTTCCTGTTCCATTTCAGGCCTGTGCTGGGCTTGCCTTTGCTGAGCTACTGAGGAGGAAAGATAGGGATGAACCTGGCCTTTTCCCTCCCTGGGGGCTTTGAGACTGTAGCATCACCAGGGCCCAATTACTCACTGCTCAGGGAGGAGGTCAGGGCCTGATGGGTGTAACCTGCAGAGAGAGGGAGAGAAGGGTGAAGAGGTGTAAGGATGGGGAGAAGTGGCAGATCTGGGGCACACTGAGTTTCTATGAATCTACTCATTCAGTGCTTACAGAGTGCTCTCAAAGTGCCTACCTTGTCAGCAAGCCCCAGAGAATGCAGCTGGAGCTCAGGGAAGAATTTCTACATCAGGTCATCTGCGGCTCATCCTTCTGCCACTTGCCCCCCTACTTCTCTGACTTTCCAGTCCCTCATTCTTTTTTGCAGTTCCCATCGAGTCAGCTCCAACTCATGGTGACCCCGTGTTTGCCAGAGTAGAACTGTGCTTTGTAGAATTTTCAGTGGCTGATTTTTCAGATGTAGATCACCAGGCCTTTCTTCTGAGGCTCCTCTGCATGGACTCCAACCACCGACCTTTCAGTTAGCAGTTGAGTGCTTAACTGTTTGTACCACCCAGACTCAGATATATACACTTCCTCATGAAGGAGAGAAGCAAAGGCACAGGCCAGTCTGGGAAAAGCTTAAACCATCCCTACACCAGAGAGGCCAGGATGCCCTGGATGTGTGTACAAGCTGATAGCGCACAGGAACCCTCGGCTGCAGCAATGCGGCTCACCGTTGACATAAAGGCTGTCACTGTCCAGGGTGTACGGGTCCAGCCGGGTGACTCCGTGGGTCTCATGACTCAGCTCCCAGTACAGCTGCTCTCTGTTCAGCCCGCGGCCCTCGAGGTCAGGGCGGTAGGTGCAGATGGCATCCACTCTGGTGGCTGTTCCACCCTTCTTGGGCCTGGGGAGGGAGGATATATGCAGGAATGATGATGAGGGCGAATTGCAAGAATGATAATGTCTGAGAAAAGCCACAAAGCTGAAATAACATTCCTTAGAAGGTGAAATGATTCTGGAAGCTATGCCACTGGTATTTCAAATACCAGTAAGATCGCCCATGGTGGACAGGCTTCAGCAGAGCTTCCAGATTAAAACAGGCTACGAAGACTACGTTCAAAAATCAGCTAATAAAAACTTTATGGATTACAACAGAACATTGTCTGACTAGCTTGCATTGGGCATGTCATCAAGAGGGATCAGTCGCTAGAGGGGATATTATATTTGGGGGAGTAGAGGGCCAATGAGGGCGAGGGAGACCCTTAATGAAATGGACTGGAACAATAACCACAATGATGGACTGGAACATGCTGGCGATCATTAGAATGACACAGGACTGGGCAACATTTTGTTCTGTTATGTATAAGGTTTCTCTGAGTCCAAGTCAACTCAACAGCAGCTAAAAACAGCAAAAACCACAGGAAAAAAAAATGGGACCAAAAAATCTAGAATTTATACATGATAGATAGATGAAGAAGGTGAACTGGGGTTAGAGTTGGCACAATGTTTGTTCCTCATCCACGTACCAACCACCTGCCACCCCACTTCCAGATTAGGCTGAGGGAAAAAACGAGAAGGATGTCCCAAAATCTTGCAAATACCTGAGGTGTATCGCCCTTGAGCAGATTAAATGTGGGTTAAGGAATACTCATGCTACAAGGACTGTTCATTTTTGTTTTATATTTTCTTCAGTACCAAATTATTTTTGAAAACTGCAAGACATTAGCCCCTGGGGGAAATTCTACACCTTGAACAGGACTAGAAGGAAGACAGAATGGAACCCTGAGGGGACTAGAACTGGGAACAGGGGTGGATATGGCATCTCTATCAACCCACACCCCTAGGTGCCGAGGTGGGGAGCAAGCACCGGGTGGAGGGGAGGAATAGAATCTGGGAGGGGTGCAGGTGTGAACATCCTCTCCTGGGTATCTCACCTGAGTGAGATCACTCTGCAGCTGGAGTAGAGGGTGCCAATGCTGGTGTTCTTGATCAAAGGACCAAGCTAGGAAGGAAGGAGAGAGAGGTGAGCAGAAGGATTGGGGGTCATGCAGGGGAGAGGTGGAGTGAGCATCAGGCATCTCAGAGCTCTTACCATGTGTTGTAGGACCTTCTCAGTGGTGTTGAACTTAGCAGATTTGGGATGCCCCATGTCTTCAGTGTAGCGCAGGTTGGTGATGGTGAAGTTCAGGGTGAAGAGCACCAGGGTGGATCTTGTAGCTGCAACAGGGAAGCCAGATAAGAAATCCTGTCCTCGGCTCTGAGAGGATCCTGTCCAGTCCCTGCCCAGCCTCCTTCAGCCCTCCCACTTGTGGCATCTGATTCTATCGAAGTGCTCCACCCAGCTGTGTTCTTGAGCCAGTGCAGGCAGGGCGCATCATGTAAGTCTAACCAACAACTTGGGCTCCTGGAATTGGGTCTTCTCCCAGAAGCCCTGATTTGGAGGTACCTACAGTGAGATAAAGGAGTCCTGGTGATGCAGTAGTTAAATACTTGACTGCTAACCAAAAGGTCAGCAGTGTGAACCTACCAGTCCCTCCATGGGAGAAAGAAGTGGCAGTTGGCTTCCATAAAGATTACAGCCTTGGAAACCCTGTGGGGCAGTTCTACCCTGTCCTATAGGGTTGCTATGAGTCGGATTCAACTTAATAGCGATGAGGTATTGTGAGATAGGTACCTAGGGGGTACCTAGGCTTCCCCCATATTGGCCCTGTTATGTGATCAACTCATTGCTCAGGTTCCTAGTTATAATTTAAACTCATTCAATTAACAAATATTTATTGAGTACCAGGTATATACCAGATATCGTCATATAAATGGGCACATATATTTCTAGTCAATAAAACAGAACTCATGTTAGGTATTTTAATAAAGAGAATTTAAAATAGGAAGCTGTAAGGACAACCTGTTGTTGTTGTTGTTAGGTGCCGTTGAGTTGGTTCTGACTCAGTGACCCTACAGGACAGAATAGAACTGCCCCATAGAGTTTCCAAGGAGCGGCTGGTGGTAGATTTGAACTGCCAACCTTTTGGTTAGCAGCTGAGCTCTCAACCACTGTGCCACCAGGGCTCCAAGGGCAACCTGGACATTAGCAATATCAGGAAGCTTCTAGCCCCCATTGGATTCCCTGGGTAGTACAAACGGTTAACCTGCTCAGCTGCTAACCAAAATGTTGGAGGGTTGAGTCCATCCAGAGGTGCATCAGAAAACCCTATGGAGAAGTTCTGCTCTGTAACACATGGGGTCACCATGAGTTAGAGTTGACTTGACAGCAGCTGGCTTGGTTTCAAACAGTCATCCATTGAAAACCCTATGGAGCACAGTTCTACTCAGACACATACGGGGTTGTCATGAGTCAGGTCAACTCGACAACAACTGATACTGGTCTAGCCCCCAAGGGGCTGAAAAGACAAAGGGAAGAGGAAGGTGTGGCCTCCCAGAAGGAGTTGAAGCCATGGAAGAGACACAACTCTGCTGGAGATGCTGCCTGAAGCAAGAATAAATTATTTGCTTGAAGTGAATATATACCCTGGCTTTTCTCCTGCTGGAGCCCACCTGTCCAAATGTTGTCTCCTATTGGCTGAACCTAACAGGAAGCTGGTTAGCAAGGGAGCCTGGGAAGTGTAGTCTGCAGGGGGTCAAACCTCTATTCTATGGTGCACAGTAAGGGTGGAAAACAGGTCTAAGGGCAAAAACGCCACAAATGACCCACAAGGAGTACAACAAAGAACATGACAGACAAGGCCCAGAAGAAGTTACATTCCTACGTGGGGAAGACAGACAATAAAACATGTAAACAGATAAGTAAAAGTTTGATGTTGTTGTTATTAGGTGCTGTTGAGTTGGTTCCGACTCATAGTGACCCTGTGTATGACAGAACAAAACACTGGCTGGTCCCTCGCCATCCTCACAATCGTTGTTTGATAAAGTTTGACTCATACCAACCCTATAGGACAGAGTGGAACTGCCCTGTAAGGTTTCCAACAAGCTGCTGGTGGATTCGAACTGCCGGCCTTTTGGTTAGCAGCCCAGTGCTTAACCACTGCGCCACCAGGGTTCCAAAATTTGGTAAGTACCATGAATTATTAAAGAACAAAAAACAAAAAAAACCTATGTTTTTTTTTATAGAGTATAAAGTTGGGCCTGCTTTAGATAGAGGGGTCAAGGCAAGGTCCTTGTGAGAATTTGGCATTTTCTTGACGCTTGCAGGATGAGAAGGAGCCAGCTATACCAGGAGCCAGAGTAAGTACTTTCAGGCAAAAGAACAGCAAGTGTGAAGTCCATGGTTGGAAAGAGCAAAGGCCAGGGTGCAGTGAGCCAAGAGGCGCATGGAAGGAGCTGAGGTCAGAATGGGCAGTAAGAACAAGGTCGTTAGGGACTTGTGGGTCATGTTGAGGAATGTGGATTTTATGGTCATAACAATGGAAAGTTGGCAGGAGAGTGACATAATCTGATTTAGATTTTTTAAAGCTTCACCTGGCTGCTATGTGAAAAACATGGTGGGGGGGGCAGGAATGGAAGTAGGGAGAACATGGAAATCACTGCTGGTGTCTGGGTGAGAAATGGTGGTGGCTTGTATTAGGGTAAGGCCCTTGGGTGACACAAATAGTTTGCACTTGATTACTAACCTAAAGTTTGGCAGTTAGATCCACCCAGCAGCCCGTGGAAGGAAGGAGATCTGCTTTTGTAAGATTACAGTCAAGAAAACCCTATGGAACAGTTCCACTCTGACACATGGGGTTGCCATGAGTCAGAATCAACTTGCCAGCAACAGGTTTGAGGGTTTTTCCTTTTTTTGGTATTAGGGTGAGAGGGCAATGGATGAGGATGGACAGATCCAGAATATGTCGTGGATATGACCAAATGTTTTGATGGTTTAAAAGAAGTGAAAGGAAAAGGAGGTGTCCAGGATGACTCCTCGATTTCTTGCTTTAGTAACTAATTCCCTTGCTTATATTATCCTCCCATTACTCTGTAGCAGGGACTGTCACCATCACCCCTGTCACCCTGACTGCTGCTGGCAGGACTCAGCTAGGCCTCCTCGTGTCCCTCTGGATTGTGAATGTCCACTGCCATCATCTTCTGTCCATGTTTCTACATCCAAAACTCGACATCTCTTTCTCAGTAATACTAGTAGTTTCCACTTGTTGAGAGCAGACTATCCACCAGTTCCTGGCTAAGACCCTCTTTGAGGTCACCTGGCTCCAGAGCCCCTGTGTGATGGTTAAGATTGTGTGTCATCTTCGCTGGGCCATGATTCTCAGTGTATGTATGTGATCACCCCTGAGATGGGATCTGCTGTGAGTAGCGAATCAGTTGAAGGGAGTTTCCTTGGGTGTGTGGCCTGCATCCGAATATAAGTGGACGTTCTGGCTTTTGCCTGCTCTGGATCCTGCAGCTGCCTCCTGTTCATCTGACCTCCGGTTCTTGGGACTTGAGCTAGTAGCTTATCTGCCAATCTTGGGATTCGTCAATCTTCACAGCCTGTGAGCAAGAGCACTGCTCTCTGACCCACCGATCTTGAGTTCACCAGCCCCTGCAGCTGCGTGAATCAATAGAAGCCTCTATCTTGATCCATGGACTTGGGATGGTCTAGCCTTTCAATTGCACGAGTCGTTTCCTTGATATAAGTTTCTCTCTGTATATATTTATACGCTTCACTGGTTTTGCTTCTCTAGAGAACCCAGCCTAAGACACCATGATTTAATCACAACATAACACCACATGGATGCTCCCAAGGCCTGTGAGGGAGAGCTTCCTTCAGACTCTTGAACACCTGGTCCAACTATGAGAAAATCATCAAGGACACTACCTAGGGAGTCAGATGTAAGGGCCCTAGGTCCGGTGCCTTTCCCATTTCAGGCTGAAATTTCAACCAAGGACCAACCGGAGCACACACACACACGTACACACACAAATCCAAAAACAAAACCAGTTGTTGTCAAGCTAGTTCTCACTCATGGCAACCTCATGTGTTACAGAGTAGAACCGCTCTGTAGGGTTTTCTTGGCTGTAATCTTTACGGAAGCAGACACCAGGTCCTTTTTCTGTGGCCACTAGATGGGTTTGAATTGCCAACCTTTAGGTTAGTAGTCAAGCACAAACCGCTTATGTCACCCAAGGACCATATGTAAATGTGTATATACATATAAACCAAATCCATTGCCGTTGAGTCACTTCCCACTCATAGGAACCCTACAGGACAGAGCAGAACTGCCCCATAGGGTTTCCAGGGAGCAGATGGTGAATTAAAATTGCCAACCTTTTTAGTTAGCAGCCATAGTTCTTACTCACTGCACCACCAGGGCCCCATGTATGTGTATATATGTGGGTTTCCATCATATATATACACACACACGTGTGTGTGTGTGTGTGTGTGTGTGTATGTGTATATAGTAAGTGGTTAGAAGTAAATCTGAGTTGTTGCAAATGGATTTGCTGTTGACATTTTCTGACCATTGGTCAGGGAGAGATGTATGTGAGCAGACTTAGATCAAACTGGTCATTTCAGTCACAACCTAGAAGAGCTGAGCCTTCAGCTCACAGATGCTTTCCAGAAAAATAAAATAGCCTTCTACACATGAGCCAGGGACCCAATTCCCAGTATTCCAAGACAACTCCAACTGAATTGGTATCAACTGCCTGGGGTGTTCTGTTGATAAAGATTATGAGCTGTTGGTGAGCTCAGGAAGAATGGATGCTATGATCAATTGGTGATGTCTGCCATGGGTGAGGGGTTGGGGAGGGGTGGCATATATTTGCAATATATTTGACCTGAGTAGAGTCTGACAAAGTCATTAAAGATTTGAATCAAGGTAGGAAAGGAATGTTTCCACACATTAGAAAAATCACGCTTCATTCCTTCCTTTCCTGGGAGAATCCACATATTTACTGTGGACCTACCATTGACAAGAGACTGGGGTAGACACTAGGGAAGCACAAGGGACTAAGACAGTTGCTTCATGCAGAAAGTTTGCTCAGTTTTGAGGTTTACAGAAATAAAATATTCAGAATCAGGAAAATGCAAGGGTATGCAGTAGACTTATTTTTAAAAATAAAAAGCAGGATTTAAAGTGAGTAATAAAAGCAATCCAAGGTTTCCATGCCTTCTTTGTCTATAATGATAGAACTTTTTAAAAAAGAATATTAAATGAGATAATACAGTTAGATGCTGAGCATAACACTTGGTTCACATTATGTGTTATCACTGTGATCACTAC